TAAATAAGTTCATTTGTATCTTTTTTGATTCGCATATAAGTGATATCATATGATATTTCTCTTTCTCTGTCTGACTTCCTTCACTCAGTATGACAGTCTCTAGGTCCATCCATGTTGTTGCAAATGGCATTATTTCATTCTTTTTAAAGGCTGAGTAATATTCCATTGTATATATGTACCATATCTTCTTTATCCATTCTTCTGTCGATGGGCATTTAGGTTGCTTCCATGTCTTGGCTATTGTCAACAGTGCTGCAGTGAATACTGGGGTGCATGTATCCTTTCAGACCATGTCTTTCTCCGGGTACATGCCCAGGAGTGGGATTGCAGGATCATATGGTAGATCAATTTTCAGTTTGTTAAGGAACCTCCATACTGTTTTCCATAGTGGCTGCACTAATTTACATTCCCACCAACAGTGTAGGAGGGTTCCCTTCTCTCCACACCCTCTCCAGCATTTGTTGTTTGTGGATTTTTTGATGATAGCCATTCTGACTGGTGTGAGGTGATATCTCATTATAGTTTTGATTTGCATTTCTCTAATAATTAGCGATGTTGAACATCTTTTCATGTGCCTCTTCATCTGTATGTCTTCTTTGGAGAAGTGTCTACTTAGATCTTCTGCCCATTTTTTGATGGGGTTGTTTGTTTTGATGATATTAGGCCGCATGAGCTGTTTGTAAATTTTGGAAACTAATCCCTTGTCGGTGACATCATTTGCAGATATTTTCTCCCATTCTGTGGGTTGTCTTTTCATTTTGTTTATGGTTTCCTTTGCTGTGCAAAAGCTTTTGAATTTAATTAGATCCCATTTATTTTTGTTTTTATTTCCATTACTCTGGGAGATGGATCAAAAAAGATATTGCTGCGATTTATGCCAGAGAGTGTTCTGCCTATGTTTTCCTCTAAGAGTTTTACAGCATCTGGTCTCAAATTTAGGTCTTTAATCCATTTTGAGTTTATGTCTGTGTACAGTGTTATAGAGTATTCTAATTTCATGTGTTTACATGTAGCTGTCCAGTTTTCCCAGCACCATTTATTGAAGAGATTGTCTTTCCTCCATTGTATAGTCTTGCCTCCTTTGTCATAGATTAATTGACCACAGGTGCGTGGGTTTATTTCTGGGCTTTCTATCCTGTTCCATTGATCTGTATTTCTATTTCTGTGCCAGTACCATACTGTTTTTTTGTTTGTTTGTTTTTTTACCATACTGTTTTGATGCCTATAGCTTTGTAGTATAGTCTGAAGTCAGGGAGCCTGATTTTTCTTTCTCACGATTGCCTTGGCTATTCGGAGTCTTTTGTGTCTCCATACAAATTTTAAGATTTTTTGTTCTAGTTCTGTGAAAAATGCCATTGGTGATTTGATAGGGATTTCATTGAATCTGTAGATTGCCTTGGGTAGTATAGTCATTTTGATAGTATTGATTCTTCCAATCCAAGAACATGGTATATCTTTCCATCTGTTTGTGTTGTCTTTGATTTCTTTCATCAGCATCTTATAGTTTTCGGAGTACAGGTCTTTTGTCTCCGTAGGTAGGTTTATTCCTAGGTATTTTATTCTTTTTGATGCAGTGGTAAATGGGATTATTTCTTGAATTTCTCTTCCTGATCTTTCATTGTTAGTGCATAGAAATGCAACAGATTTCTGTGTATTAATTTGGTAACCTGCAACTTTACCAAATTCATTGATGAGCTCTAGTAGTTTTCTGGTAGTGTCTTTAGGATTTTCTATGTATAGTATCATGTCATCTGCAAACAGTGACAGTTTTACCTCCTCTTTTCCAATTTGGATTCCTTTTATTTCTTTTTCTTCTCTGATTGCTGTAGCTTGGACTTCCAAAACTGTGTTGAATAAAAGTGGCAAGAGTGGACATCCTTTCTTGTTCCTGGTCTTAGAGGAAATGCTTTTAGCTTTTCACTGTTGAGTATGATGTTAGCTGTAGGTTTGTCATATATGGCTTTATTATGTTGAGGTATGTTCCCTCTAAGCCCACTTTCTGGAGAGTTTTTATCATAAATTGGTGTTGAATTTCGTTAAAAGCTTTTTCTGCATCTATTGAGATGATCATATGGTTTTTATTCTTCAGTTTGTTGATGTGGTGTTATTACATTGATTGGTTTGCTGATATTGAAAAATCCTTGCATCCCTGGGATAAATCCCACTTGATCATGGTGTATGATCCTTTTAATGTATTGTTGGATTCAGATTGCTAGTATTTTGTTGAGGTGGTTTGTTCGTTTGTTTGTTTGTTTTTATTTTGCTGCACTGGGTCTTCGTTGCTGCGTGCGAGCTTTCTCTAGTTGCGGCAAGCAGTGGCTTGTCTTTGTTGCGGAGCACAGGCTGTAGGCTGGTGGGCTTCAGTATTTGTGGCTCGTGGGCTCCAGAGTGCAGGCTCAGTAGTTGTGGCACATGGGCTTAGTTGCTCCACAGCATGTGGGATCTCCCCGGACCAGGGCTCGAACCCATGTCCCCTGTGTTGGCAGGCAGATTCTTAACCACTGCGCCACCAGGGAAGTCTCTGTTGAGCATTTTTATGTCTGTGTTCATCAATGATATTGCCCTGTAATTTTCTCTTTTTTTGTGGTATGTTTGTCTGGTTTTGGTATCAGGATGATAGTGGCCTCACAGAATGAGTTTGGGAGTTTTCCTTCCTCTGCAGTTTTGTGGAACAGTTTCAGAAGGACAGGTGTTAGCTCTTCTCTAAATGTTTGATAGAATTCATCTGTGAAGCCATTGGGTCCTGGACTTTTGTTTGTTGGGAGTTCTTTAATCACAGTTTCAATTTCAGTACTTGTGATGGGTCTGTTCCTATTTTCTATTTCTTCCTGGTTCAGTCTTGGGAGATTGTAACTTTCTAAGAATTTGTACATTTCTTCCAGGTTGTCTGTTTTATTGGCATACAGTTGCTTGTAGTAGTCCTTTTCTTTCTTTTTTAGGCTGTACTGGGTCTTAGTTGCAGCATGCGGGATCTTCGTTGTGGCATGTTTAGTTGTGGCATGCGGGCTTCTCTTTCGCAACATGCATGTGGGATCTAGTTCCCTCACCAGGGATCGAACCCGGGCCCCCTGCACTGGGAACACGGAGTCTTACTGGACCACCAGGGAAGTCCCTGTTAGTAATCTTTTAAGATCCTTTGTATTTCTGTGGTGTCGGTTGTAACTTCTCCTTTTTTATTTCTAATTTTATTGATTTGAGTCCTCTCCCTTTTCTTCTTGATGAGTCTGGCTAAAGGTTTATCGATTTTGTTTATCTTTTCAAAGGACCAGCTTTTAGTTTCATATTGTTTTCTTGGTCTCAGTTTCATTTATTTCTGCTCTGATCTTTATGATTTCTTTCCTTCTACTAACTGTAGGTTTTATTTGTTCTTCTTTTTCTAGTTGCTTTAGGTGTAAGGTTAGGTTGTTTATTTGAGATTTTTCTTGTTTCTTGAGGTAGGATTGTATTGCTATAAACTTCCCTCTTAGAACTGCTTTTGCTGCATCCCATAGGTTTTGGATCATTGTGCTTTCATTTTCATTTTTCTCTAGGTATATTTTGATTTCCTGTTTGATTTCTTCAGTGATCCATTGGTTGTTCAGTAGCATATTGTGTAGCCTCCATGTGTTTGTGTTTTTTACAGTTTTTTTCTTGTAGTTTATTTCTAATCTCATAGCATTGTGGTCGGAAAAGATGCTTGATATGATTTCACTTTTCTTAAATTTACCGAGGCTCACTTTGTGGCCCAGCATGTGGTCAGTCCTGGAGAATGTTCCATGTGCACTTGAGAAGAATGTATATTCTGCTGCTTTTGGATGGAATGCTCTATAAATATCAATTAAGTCCATCTGGTCTAATGTGTCATTTAAGGCCTGTGTTTCTTTATTGATTTTCTGTCTGGATGATCTGTCCACTGATGAAAGTGGGGTGTTCCAGCCCCCCACTATCGTGTTACTGTCGATTTCTCCCTTTATGATTGTTAGTATTTGCCTTATATATTGAGGTGCTCCTATGTTGGGTGCATATATATTTACAATTGTTATGTATTCTTCTTGGACTGACCCCTTGATCATTATGTAGTGTCCTTCCTTCTTTGTCTCTTATAACAGCCTTTATTTTAAAGTCTGTTTCGTCTCATATGAGTACTGCTACTCCCCCTTTCTTTTGATTTCTCTTTGCATGCAATACCTTCTTCCATCCCTGCTTCACCCACCATCTTCTCACACCTGAATTTTTGCAGGAGCCCCCTAGCTGGCCCCCATTCAGGTCTGCTCACCTTAGGTGCCAGAGTCATCTTTGAAAATGCTAATCTGAACATTCATGAGCCTCAACCCCTCAGGGACCAAACTGAAGATGTGATCGGGCCCCTGCCCAACTCAGCAGCATCCTCTTGGCCCCTCTCCCACAGTTCCCCAGCCCACGGCACTTATGTTTCTTCCATCCCACTGTGCCTTTGCTCCACAGAGCCTTCATACATGCTCTTCCCCTCACTCCTTGTCTAGACTCCTTGTCTATCTATTCCTCCTAGGTTCTCGACTAAAATGTCACTTCCTGACCCCCCAAGCCTTGGTCAGGCCCTGGTAGTCACTCTGGTACCCTGCCTTCTCCCTTGAAGTCCGGAGCACTGTGGTAATTACTTAGGTATTAGGTAATTACGCTAAATGACCCAGTAGACTGTCAGCTCCCTGAGGGCAAGGACCACGGCTGACTTGTTCGTTGCTGCATCTGCGGCCCCTAGCCAGTGCCTGGTACGTGGTGTTGATAAATGTATAGTTATCATGAACTTTACTTAGAGAAAACACAAAAGATGTTCTTTAAAACGTTGGTGGTGGCTTTGGGGGTATAAAATTATGCATGACTTATTTTGTTCTTTCTACTTTTCTGTGCTTTCTGTTTTGTTGTCAGCGAGCAAGGCAATAACTGTCGGTTTGTCAAAAGACATCAGTGCTGGGCCCCAAGCTGAGTCCCCTGTGCAGGATGCACCAGGGTTCACCTCTGCGCTCCTGCCCTTGTCCCCACAGGCCTGAAGAGCGATGCGACAGGCATGATGGAGGTCGAGTCCTCCTACTCGGACTTCATCTCCTGTGACCGGACAGGCCGCCGGAACGCAGTCCCTGACATCCAGGGAGACTCCGAGGCCGTAAGCGTACGGAAGCTGGCTGGCGACATGGGCGAGCTAGCCCTCGAGGGCGCAGGTCAGAACCCATGGGTCCTCTCGGGTTCAAGCACTCCTGGTGGGAGACCCTCTCCTGGGCTCCGGGACTGGCCTCTTAAGTCCTAGCCTGCCCCCTCTTTCTCAGAGAAGAAACTGCATTTAAATCAGGCCCCAGGCCCACGGTCAGTGGCAGAGGGCAGCCACTCCCTAGGCTAGAGGGTGCCAGTGTCTCAGGCCGTGAGGACCCTCTGGCCAGGCATCCCGGTGCTTCCCTTTCCCCTCAGCCTCCCCGTCCACCCACAGGCCCTGTCAGTTCTCCTCCAAGGTCCCTCCCCAGTCCCTCCGCTTCTCTCTGTCCCCACAGCCACCACCTGGCTCAGGCCGCTCCCAGCACCCCAGCGGCCTCTGCCGGGGCCTCCCTGATCCATCCCCGCCCCAACCCTCCTGCTGGACAGCTGCCAGCAGGGCTCATTTAAATCCCCTGTCCCATCGTGCTTCTGCCCCTGCATCCACCCCCCTTCATCTCACGGTTTCCTCTGCTAGAACATCCCTCACCAGTCCTGGCTCCCCCAGAAACCCCACCCTCCCTCCCCGTGCCGTCCCGTCCCGTCAGCGGTCTGTCAGCCCTCCCTTGTCCTGTGGCCTGAACTCCTCACCAGGCGTGGGAGCCTCCCCGGATCTCACCCTGCTCCCCTCCAGCCTCTGCTCCCATCTTTCTCTCCTGGGCCTCTGGTCCAGCCTGAGGAAGGGACTTCCGTTTCCTGAAAGTCCCTGATGGGCCTTGCCGCACTCTCCCTCTGTCTGGTCCTGCCTGCCCTCCCCTTGCCAGGCTGGCTTTTCCTCTTTCTTAGAGGCCCAGACCGCTCTGCTGAGAAGCAGTCATTCCCCTCTCCGGCAGGGGAGGCGCCTCTTCTCTTGGCCGCCTCCACAGCCCCCTAAGCACAGGGCCTCTCCTCTGGGATCCGCATCCTGGGCCCTCGGTGCCTGGTGGCGTTTGGCACCCGGCAGAGGTGCCTAGTCAATGGCTGTTCACTGACCAGCACGCCCAGCTGCCACGCCAGGCCTGCTGCCAGGCCATCTGCGTCTGCTCTGGTGAACGGTTTTCTATCTCCTTCAACTCAGTGTAGCCACTCATCCACCTGCCCAGGCCCTCTAATGCCTGCTCCCACCCCCGTCCGATTCGAGATCCCTGAGGTACCTGGTGTCCTGGCAGCTGTCTGCCAGGGTGACGGACAGTTAAAAGGGGGCCTGAGGAAGGAGTAGTGCTCACCGCAAGGCAGTGAGGTGCTCCTGGCGCAGTGCAGGCCAGAGTGACTGGCCGAGGAGCCTTCCAGTAGGCCCTGCAATGAGCAGCTTCCACTGGCACGTCTGCGAGCCGTGCTCAGTCCAGCGGACTCACCGAGGGAGTGGGAGTACGGGGAATACAGGTTCTGATCCTGCAGGCCCTGGAACTTCTGTTTGCCTAAAGCTCCCGGGAAACTGAGGCGGAGCCCAGGCAGGGGAGGAGGGGGCCACAGCCTTGGCCTGTCCTGAGGCCTGGCGGCCAGGCCTCCCCCAAGTCCTGTGTGTTAACGTTCCCCAAGCCCTTTGTGCGCAAACCTTTGTCTTCTCTGATGTTTCCTTACGCGGGGAGCACAAACGTTTCCTTACTTGGCCGAATAATGAAACATAAACAACCAGCAGGGCATGAAGGAATATGAACGCACTGCTTGGCAGCACATGACCGGGAAACTTTCCGAATCATGCTCTGAAACTGCCCTGAGGGAGTCCCAGGGGTGCTGGTTGGAGAGAAAAATGCTTGGGGACCTCTCTGTGGGCCAGAAGAGAGCTGGGACCTGCACAGAAGAAGCCTTGCCCCTGGCTGAGCTGTCCCATGTGCCAGGTGACCACAGAGGGGCAGGGATGTCATCACCCTCACTTCGTAGATCAGGAAGCAGAGGCTTGGAGAGATTAAATAAGTTGCCTGAGGTCCCACAGCAAGGAAATGGCAGAGCGGCAGTTACTGCGGAATTTAACGAAAATATTCTTGCTCGCCAGGACGGGAGGCTTCGGACCAAATAGGGCATCACACACTGGGGAATCTGCCTGAAGTGCAGTCTCATTTGTCAGGCTTCCAGTGGGCCAGGACCCTCTGGGACCCGGCCTTTGCTACAGGCCCTGCCCCATGATAGGAGGTGACCTGAGGCACAGGTGTCCAAGTTCTCCCTGCACCCCTCACTACCACTAACCCCACCTCTGAAGCCAGCTGCCAGGGCAGAATGAGGCGGTGTCAGTGATGGGTCTTTACAAACCCTAGAGAGCGCTCCTTTAGGCGGCAGCCTTCTAGTTAGCGGAAGGGACACTGCTCCCTCCACTGTTTGGCTCTCAGGCAACTCGGTTCACCTCTCTGAGCCTTGTTTTTCTCATCCGAGTCGTATCATGACCCTCATCACACCTCCAGGCTGCTGTATGACTGCATGGAAAGTACTTGCCAGTCTGCAGCCTCAGGATCTGGGCGCAGGGTAGTGTCTCCCTACTCACGTGAAAGGCTTAGCCTAAGGGTGCAAAGACAGAGGCCACAGAGGGAGATGGGGGTGGTCTGGTGGGGACACAGCACAGTGAAACAGCGACGGGCTCCACCCCAGCCCCTGCTGCAGGCCACCCCTGGTGCTCCCCTGGGCTGGCATCTCCTGATGCCCTTCTCTGTCTTACAAGAACTACTGTTTGCTGAGCACATGCTGGGACTCTAGACACCCCACACAAATATCCTGACCCTCCCCAGCTACAAGCATCCAGCCATGATCCTGGCCTTTTCTTCACTTTAATTATACTAGTAACAGCACATGCACATTTTCTTTGTAGAAATTAAAATGTTACAGACTAGGCTAAAGTTCCCTTTAGCTACTACCCCCCAATCCTGTCCTGCTCCCCAGGGCTTATCCACTGTTACTGCTGTGGCTGGGCCCCTCTGGACCTCTTTCTATGCATTACGTTTGTGTATGTGCTCCTTTCTCTCTCCTCTGCAGAAGGACAGGCGGAGGTGGGCACCCCAGACAAGGAAGGTAGCAGCCAGCCCAAGAGCAGCGATGGGACCACCTCATCTTGAACATGACCTTGCCCGAGGAGGCTGGAAGAGTGACGCGCCGTGGACGGAAAGCCCTGGCACTGGCCCAGCAGCCTTTCCTCTGAGCAATGTGTTCCAGGCAAGCCAGGCCAGACTGAAAGGCAGCCCCAGAGGCTCCCGTGGCCCCTACCCTGGGAAGGCCCTCTGCCCACACCCCCAGGCTCCACGCTCCCACCACCTCCTCACTTGCCCGGGTACACTTTCAAGACACTGTAACCACAGGATGTTATTTATTCAGCAGGTGCTGGGACTCAGGGGCTGGGTCCTGCCACCTGGGTGAACAGCTGGGGCAGGGACCGCATTCTAGCTCTGCCCCCTCTTCTCCAACCCAGCCAGCCTTCTGTGTCAGGACCTTCTTATCCCTTTTTTAAGAAGCACTTTTAAACTTTTTAGAAACTTTAAACCTTTTCTCAGCAGAGAGGGAGGGAGCTGACAATTTACCTTTTATTTTGGAAGCCATTGTAAGTTAAACTCTTTGACCATCTATGCAGCTCTGAGGTTCCCTCATGGAGCTTCACAGATCCATTTTTAGCGAAGGGATCTTGTGCTCAAAACTCTGATTAACTCTTTGCCCTTTCTACCAAGATAAGTGACACCTAGGACCCAGGAAATAAATGCTGATTTGTGTGATAGGTTTAAGATGATTATTTCTCCTTTAAACAGCAAAAGCAGGGGCTGGGCCTTGTTTCCCCAAGGCCATGATTAGCTGGGACCCATCGCTGCCCCAGGCTTCCACGGAATGAAGTACCTGAGAAGATGCCGGGGTACCGCAGAGGCCAGCACCACACCTCAGGCCAGTATCTGAAGAATCATCTTCCATCTCACCCTCTCTCACCCCAGTTCACAGCTTTGGGGACCCAAAAGGAAGGTTTCCCCGCTTAGGACCTAGAGTAGGAAGGGGTTAAGAGTTCAGGGAGCATTTAAGCAGATAAGCCTTCAAGAGAAGCCTGGTTTCTTCTGGACGGAGAGCAGGCTTTGGGCCCTGCCTTGCCCCCCCTTCCCATTCACAGAGCCCACCGGGCTCTCGGGACCCTGCTGCTGGGCAGGCTGCCTGCATCTGGGGGCCCCAGGGGCTCCTTCCGTTCTCCACAAACCCAAGTTGGCCCGCTCCGACCGCAGCGCCACACACCACGTGCTGCACAACCCCAGCTGTTGTTTTCTTTATTAAGCACCAGATTTTCAGCACAGGTTACCAGAGGAGGGAGGGATTCACATTCAACCAGCCGCAGGCCCTGATCCTGGCCCGGGCACACAATCAGAGGAGAGACACGGCCAGGCGGAGGTATATGTGTGTACAGAAGCAGGCATGTGGGCTTCACGAGCATCAGTAGCTGACTCTGGAAATCATAGTCTCCCTGGAAGGAGTAAAGGGAGTTGTGAGGACTCCATCCACAGGGTGAGGTGGCCACGATGTCTTCAGGGACACTGCCCTGCTTGCCAAGAGAAGCAGAAAGGTGAGGCAACTTGTAGTACCCGGGACATTAAAAAAAAAAAAAAAAATCACAGAACATCAGAGCCAGAGAGGAACCCCTTTCTACAGATGGGGAGACTGAGGCTTGGAGCAAGGAAAGGCTCTGTCAAGGCCACACAGGAAGGAAGGAAGCAGAACCTAGCTGCACCCTGGGCTCAACTCCCTGCCCTTGGCTTTGGGCAGCCCTGGAGATGCCCCAAGTTGCCAAGACCTTGGGAGTGGGCTTGAGAAGGGCTCCTCCTCAGACCAGCCTCACAGCATTATGCAGGAAGTGAGCCTGTGCAGTGAGGGAGGACGCATCCCTGGTGCTGCCCGGGAGAGGAAGGGAGGGCATATCTTGCTAGAAGTCCCTGGAAAGACAGGTGGGAGCCAGGGCAGGGCACCAGCCCAGCAGCTCCGTCAGAAACATACCTGCAGAGGCCAAAGGTGGCATCCCATAGGCTTTATAGAGCAGATCAAGAAGCTCCCTCTTCTCATCTTCTGGGAGGAAACTGGACTTTGCCGCGTTGATGTTCTGGAAGGGCCAGCACGGCGGACAGTGTGAAACCAGAGAGCATAGGAGGGAGTCCTTAGCAATCTAGTGACAGTCCATTAAACATGGGCAATTCATTAAGCTCAGAGTGGTGAGGCCTTGTCCAAGGTCACGCGGCAGCAGCTGCCAGAGCAGAGACTGTGAGGTTGTGTGTTCTTAACGTGGCAGGACGCGACACACAGATGTGGCAGGGAGGCTGGAGAAACCTTTGAGAGACGGGGTGGGATGTGTGGCGCCAGAGAGACAGTCCTGCAGGGACAGACTTGGGATATCAGAACCACTGAAATCAAGGGCTCATCCTGGGGTCTCTGAGTGGCCTGAAAAGTGTGTGCAAAATGTATAGCTGAGCACACCTTTCTGGGGAGATGGTTGACAGCTTTCAGAGTCTTTCAAGGCACTTGACCGAAGCAGAGGATAAAAAACCCAGTCCTAGGTCAGGATCTCAGCCGAAGATGTCCTCTCCGTGGAAGGCATCAAACTCCAGGTCTGCCTTGGCCTGGCCTGTTGCAGCAGACTCACCCCTCATCCTCCAGGGCTTCCGGGCCCTGGACGGGACCTGCAGGCCTCACACACTCCCAGGGCCCAGAGTCAAGGCACACACCCACTCACCAGTCTCTTAAACTCCTCTTCAGTGAAGCCCATGTCCTGTTTGGTCATCTGGTAATCAGTGTCCAGGGTGGACTTGAAGATGAGTGGGTCATCCGTGTTGAGGGAGTAATTAGCCTGGTCGTTTTTGAACCTGGACAATGCAGGGGGGTGGGGGGGGAGGGGGAGAAGCGCCTCCCATTACTGCTGTGTAAACAGTCTCAGCACGTGGACATCCACACTCCTTTGAACCGCGCGGCACCCTTGGACAGGCCTGGAGGTTCTCCTCGTTGTACAGAGGAAGACACAAATTCAGGGAACTCGGGTGACTTGTCCAAGGCCACATTACTAGCAACTCAAGACTTAAAGCCATCCAGCCAGGTCAGAGCCAGGCAAAGGCAGGAGAGGGGCCGGCTTGGCGAGGCCAGAAAAGCAACAGCCCGCTCTAGCTACCCCCCCACCCCGGCCCTGCCCTCCACACTCTGCCGCACTCTGCGAGGGTTGTCTGCCCCCTTCGCCAGCCGTCCTCAGCCCCCCTGGGATCTGACTCAGCAGATGCGCCATGGGGCCTGTTCTGAGCATAGTCCCTGGCCACCATCTTATTAAATCCAATGGACTTTTCCTAGCTCTGACCTCACCCGACTTGTGGAGCAGAATTTTGTACTGTTGACCTTTTCCCTAGATTGCTTGGACACCGCACTTCTGGCTTTCCTCCTGCCTGTGCCTTCAGTGTCACTGTCCTGGATTCTCGCCTAGGCCCTCTTTTTTTTTTTTTTTTTATTCAATCAGAAAATCACAAAACTTATAATCATCCTCATCAGTTCACTCAGCCCCACGTGATTTTTTCACCTTGATCTTCTGCTGGCACTTTTACGAGTCCATCAGTTTCCATTAGAGTTCTGAAGTGCTTACTCATTCAGTTCAGCAGTAGTCAGTTACCAGAATCCTAGGCCCTCGTGCTCCACCGTCTGCTGAGGCCATCACTTCTCCTAAAACCACCGTATCTCTAGGTGACTCTGAGTCTTTCTCCAGCCCACAGGCTGTATGCCCACATGCCTCCAAGAGCCTCCACTTGGGTCCTGTAGGTACTGCACACTCCACACTCCTAAAGCAGCTCAGGCCCGCCTTGTAATCAGAGTGTGAGCGAGCCCAAGCTCCTCCTTCTCGTAAGCTTGGCGGACAGACCATCAGTGCTGGCCTGAATATGGTCACCCCGAGTTCTTAGTGAACTTCTGGGTCAGCTTTTCCCTCCTGAGGCCTCGCCCAGGGCTCAGTCCCAGGGCAACCTGAAGAAGGGCCAAAGCTTCTTAGTTAAGCCTATGGGGCAGCATCGGGGTGGGGTGGGACGGGACAGGCTCTCCTGGGGAAAGCTTCAGGATGTGCTGGGGGAATGCCCAGAGCGGCCAGGAGCAGAGACCATGTGAGCAAGAGAGACTCATCTTCCTAATTCCTAGGAGGCAGAATCTGGAGTGTGGAAGTTTCCCTTGGGGTAGCAGGGCATTCTGCTATAGCTGGATGAGCTACAGGGCCCCCAGCTGTGCTATCCAATAGCTTGGTGGCCTCATAATCAAGTTACACCACATCCAGACTTTAGCTTCCTCACTTGTAAGACGGGGACAGTAGCGCCCGCTTCCCAAGCATTTGAAGAGCTTTCACACCCAGGAGACCCCGCGGGGACCAGCGCCCAGTCCCTGCATCCCCTTCCCACCCTTGGCTTTCCTAGTACAAAACTGAACGGAGCCCAGGGGACCCGGCCTCACCGAACGACCGCATGCTCCGCGCCTGGCTTCCAGGTGCCGGTGAGGTAGCTGGACCAGGGGCAGACCTGGAAGAGCAGGCGGGTGGCTGGCATGAAGCCCCCAGGGCCACCGCTGACCCCCGTCCCCAGGCCAGCTGGCGCCACCTCCAACGGCGCCGTTCTCGCCCCGGTCACAGCGGAGTCCCCTCGCAGCAGAGTCCCAGGAGCCATCAGTCCTGCCTTTCTCCCCCCACCCAGCAGCTCCAAGGCCCGTGGCCCACGCTCCCCGCGGCTGCAGGACCCTCCGCGCTCTCCACCGCTCCCCTGACCTCCCCCTCCCCAGCCCTCACCTCGAAGTGCATGTTTTCCTGCCGCAGCCTGTTGTAGAGGGCCGGGTCCTCCAGAGTGTGGTAGCCGTGCCCCAGCCTCTCGGTCTTGAGCACGTCCACGGCCTGTTGACAAGCAGCGTGGAACCCAGCGCGGGCCAAGGGGCGAGCGGGGAGAAGGGCCCCACCGCCGGCCCAGCCACTCACCTCTCTCACCACCTCGGCCGAGCCCACCTCCCCGGCGTGGACCGTGCGGTGTATGCCGCTCTTCACGGCCTCCTGGAAGGGCGAGGGCTCGGTCAGGGGTAGCCTGGGGCTTGGCCCCGCAGGCCCTGCCGGCCCTGCCTCCACTACGCTCTGGGGCTGAGTCAACCTGGCTGGCTCCCAGACAGGGAGGTAGGGTGGGTTTCGTTTTTGTGATCATTTAAGTGGTAGCCCTCCTTTATTAGACAGTTATTACGAGTCAGACACTGTAGGAAATGGTTTAGCTACCTTACGTCATATTCACAACTGCTCTAATGCCTGTCTTACAGGGAGCGGGGAGGGACTGAAGCTCAGGTATCACGACCAGGGCCAGACCGCTAGGAAGAGATGCCAGAGCCCCTACTCTCCACCCCATGCTTCACCCCTTCCACGGGAGGCACAGCATGAGGCTTCGAGACGTCTGCTCCAACACAGTCATCCCCGCAGATGAAACAGGCCCAGAGAAGAGACAGTCTCGCCCAAGGTCACACAGCGAATCATTAGGCCTGAAGGCTCCAACACAGGACCCTCCAGCACCAAGTGGGGTTTTTTCTTTCATACCAGGTTCCCAACTTCTAGAGCTCCTAGACCCGGTCACACACACTTGGGAGCCCAGGAGGCCTCGTGATCCCCCGTCGGTGTGCCTTCCTGCTACTGGTATAGAGACCAGCTCCCCACGGGGCTCCCCCAGAGCCAGCCTCTCCTCTGCCTCCGTCCCCCGGGACCCACCGCGTAGGCCTGCACGTGTTCAGGGAAGAGGGTGCTGCCTTGGATGGTCTCATCTCCGGCCAGGTCGATGGCCACCACGGTCTGCTGCCGGTATTTCTTACACAGCTCCACCACCTCGGGGGACCAGCCTGTGGGCGAGATGCCCGCTGGGCCTCTGGCAGCAGCGTGGAGGAGAGAGACCCTCCCAGCCCTCCCACCCAAGGCCAGCACAAGGCAGAGGGCCCAGTGTCCCATCTTCAAGGTCTGACCCCGCGGCCTTCGGGGCCTTAGCATCCTCTCCTCGCCGGGGGTGGGGGTGGAGGGGCATGTGCTGTGGCTCACGGTCACAGCGAGGCTTTGCCGAGGCCGCACGTGTGAGACACCGAGGTCAGGGCCTGGGCTCAGTAAACGACAGATAGCAATCCTCTTTCGATCCCCACACCCACCTCCACTTAGCAGATGAGATGGAGGTCCGCACAGTTTAACATTTAAACCTAAAACAGCTCCCACTAGTGTTACTAAACACATTGCTAACGTTGGTCATTGTAAAGTGTTTTAAAAAGAATGACCAACCACAGGCTTTGGAACCAGATGGCCCTGGGTTCTGCTCCGGGCTTTGTGCCTTCCTGATTGAGCCTCTCTCTACCTCAGTTTCCTCATCTGTCAAATGGGGATAAACGATGGTGGCCCTGTCTCCTAGACCCCTGTGAGGATTAGAGAAAATACTCCAAGCCACTCTGCACAGGGAGGCCCTGCAGGTTGACACTAGCCCCGCGCCGTGGGCTCACTACTCCTTAGAGCAGAGAATGGGGTAACTACGGTCACCTCCTGTGACAAGGCACGTCTGAGATCCAGAGAGGTGATGTGACCTGGAGAGAGTCAGACAGCAGGGCTCTGCCTTGGAAGCACAAGCCCTGGAGCTGTGGCCAGTGTCAGTCACAGGGAGACCCCTCAGGCCCTGGCACTGAGACCTAGTCCCAGGTTCCACAGCCCTGACAGGAGGGGGCCTGGCCCACAGGGTCTCGAGGGAGGACTGCGGCCTGACAGGAACCAGGCTTAGGCTTTTCTCTGTCGTTCAGCCTCCCTTGATTTTAAGCCTCCTGCAGGTCACGTGGCTCCCAGGCTCAGCCTCCCTGGGGAGAAAATTCTGTTGCAGGAAGTTCCGAGCTTGCCCAGGAGGAAGACCCGAGGTCCAACTGATGGGCTCAAGAGAGACCATGGGCACCGGTATGGCCCCTGTGCCCGGCCAGGAGGTTGTGGTGGCATCAGATGGGCAGCCAGGGACGGGGCCGAGGTCGCACTCACTGGGCTGGTGGCGCATGCAGCACAGAATGGACCGCACCTTCACCCCGAAGTCCCGCTCTCCGTCTTGCAGGCCCTGGTCCACTAGACACACCACCTCATCCGGGGTGAGGTCCCCTCTGTGTGCAGAGAAGAGTAGGGGTGGGCCTGAGACAAAGACAGACCTAAAGGACAGCCCTGGGACTGGGACAGAGGAGGGAGGGGAGGCGGGGGAGTAAAGAGGGGAAGGAAAGGAGGAGAGAAAGAGGAGGAAGACGGGTCTTCCAGGAGAAGCCCTCAGCCCCACTAACCCACTGCCTCTGAGGAAAGGACGAGGGAGATAGCCCCAAGCCCTAGCGCACCCCCTTCCAGCTTCCTTGGAACTGCCTGGACGCTTCCAGACCTGCGAAGATTGTCCCAGTTCGGGGGGTTGGCAGACACAGCCCTCCTCCCACCCAAGATGGAGAGCACTGCTAAGCTAAGCTCACCTGTTGTGATTCCCACTTGTCCACAAGTATCAGAGTCATGGCTAGAAGGGAGCAAGGTGGTTGAGTGGTACCGCTTAGACATCCCTGGGGTCCAGGCAGAGGGGCAGGAGTGGGCCAAACTCACTTTGGTTGCAGGGTTAGGATAGGACCCCTAAGAGTCACTGGATAAGCTGTGGGACAGTTCAGGGAGCCAGACCAAAGTCTTGCTTGGGCCACGGCCTCCCAGGCTGCCCCTCGTGGTCTTGGGTCAGGCCACCCTGCCACAGCACCAGCACAGCCCTCCAGACGGTCACTCACTCAGCCTGGTTCCAGGGGATCGGCTCCACTTTGGAGTTGGCCAGCAGGTGCGGGCTGTAGCGCACCTCCATGTACACCACGCCCTCCTTGGCCTTCATCTCCACAAACTCGTAGGCAGTCCTTTTGATGGCCTCCCGGCAGCCCCTGGGAAGGGAAGAGAGTGGCTGGGGACAAACTGCCCCAAGTCCCTTGGGAGCTCCAGGAATAACAAAGCTGTCCCCTGCCCATAGCAGATCAAACCCATGTGTGGCCCCCCAATCTCGCATCACCCAGCCCAAAGCTCCGGGCATCTGCTGGAGAAAATCCTAGAAGCACAGCACGTCCTGTCAGCTCTGCTTCCAAACTCGATGCCAGTTCTCGCCCCCTCTGCCCTGGTTCTAACCACCTCACCTCTCTAACTGGCCTCCTGGTCTCCACGCTTGCCCCTGTAGAGCAGCTAGCTCAATCTTTTAAAAATGGAAATCAAAGAGGGAATTCCCTGGCAGTCCAGTGGTTAGGACTTCATGCTCTCACTGCTCAGGGCCCAGGTTCAATCCCTGGTCGGGGCACTAAAATCCCACAAGCTGTGCAGCGTGGGCAAAAAAAAAAAAGGAAACCAACACCCCTCCTCCCCTCGAACCCTAATGGCCTCCCACCTCGTAGAGTAAGCCTCAACCCCACCTCCCAACCCCCCACAAGGCCTGCGTAATCTGGGCCCCTGCCAGCCTCCCGCTCCTTCCATGACTCCTCCAGGGCCTTCTTTCTGTCCAGCGAACAACCAAGCTTGTTCCCACGTCAGGGCCTTCGTGTTTGCAGCACCCCAGCCTGCAGGCTTTTCACCCAGATCACCCTATGCTCCCTCCTCCCTCCATTCAGAGCCCACCTCCAGCCTCACCTCCTCAGGGAAGCCTTCCCTGACCACCTTATTTTATTTATTTATTTATTTTGCGGTACGCGGGCCTCTCACTGTTGTGGCCTCTCCCGTTGCAGAGCACAGGCTCCGGACGCACAGGGGCTCAGCGGCCATGGTCACGGGCCCAGCCGCTCCACGGCATGTGGGATCTTCCCGGACCGGGGCACAAACCCGTGTCCCCTGCATCGGCAGGTGGACTCTCAACCACTGCGCCACCAGGGAAGCCCTGACCACCTCATTTTAAAATATCTCACCCTTTTTCACCTCTTCCCCTGGGCTTCAGTTTTCTCCATGGCCCTTATCACCACTCGACATCACAGATCACGTGGTTTCTTTATTAGCTGGCTTTCACCTCCCCAACTAGAACGTAGTCTCCATGAGACAAGGACCCCTCCCTCTGTCTTGTCGGCTACGATCCCTCAGCCAAGGACAGAGCCTAGGACATTGCAGCCACTGAAATATTTGTTGAGTGATAGGTGTAGGCCTGCTAGCAGGGAGGAGAAATAGGAGAAAAGGACACACGCAGGCAACAAAAAGCAAAAATAGACAAGGGGGACTGCACCAAACTAAAGAGCTTCTACACAGCAAAGGAAACCATCAACAGAGTGACAGGCAACCTACCAATGGGAGAAAATATTTGCAAACCACACATCTGATAAGGGGCTAACACCCAAAATGTGGAAGGAACTCCTACGATTCAGTAGCAAAACAAGCAACAAAAACTGATAAAAAGTAGGCAAAGGACCTGAATAGACATTTCTCAAGACATACAAATGGCCAACAGGCCCATGAAATGGTGCCTGACATCACTAGTCACCAAGGAAATGCAAATCAAAAGCGGCTTAAGCCTTCAGGAAGCTGGTCCTCTTCTGTCTTGTGGCCGAGAGACAGGAGCCACCTGGGCAGTGGCATGGGAGACGCTCCTCGTCCGGGGGAGAGGCAGCATGTATGCCAGACCATCTGCTGACCCAGGCCAAGGATGGGGGCAGTCGATGCCTTCCAGGCAGAGCCCAGAAGCTTCCAGAAAGCAGCCAGCAGCCTTGGCATACATCTTCCTTCCCCAGGACTCCTCATTCCTGTCCTGCTACTTACCCAGCCAAAGGCCTCCACCGGCCTCACACACCTTCCTCAGTGGTGCTCCAACAACCCTTCCTCCAGACCGTTCCTCAGGTCCAGCCCTCTGGACAATATCACAGCCTTTCTCTCCCAAGGCCCAGTCCACACTTTCTCCTCCAGGCAGCCTTCCCTGACTCCCCCAGCCCCCTCTACGTCTTCTCCCTCCTGAGCTCTGGCAGCACTGACCGCCAAGGCCCCATTCTTGCCTGCCTTGGGAAACTCTGCCTCATGCCAGGAGGCTCAAGGCGACATCAGGACGAGAATCTGGGCTTCACCCCTTGCCACCTGTGTGGTCCTGGGCAAGTTCCTTCACTTTCCTGAGCCTTCATTTCCTCCTCTGCAAATGAGGAGTGTGTCTAGCTCACAGGACTGTGGACAGCTACAAAGAGAATAGTTCTGTGAACTGTACACACATTATATTCCTCTATATCTAAGATATTCTGCTATCAAAAAATGGAAGGAATGAAAAGTAACATAAAAACAGCAGTGCCTGGCTGTCGATACAGGTAGCAATTGTCCTCCTAGTAAGAGGAGGCTTGCTGAGGACAGTGCTGTGTCCATCCCAAGCCTCAGCCCTAGGAGGTAGAGAGGGTCATAAGCCCCATTGTCTAGATAAGGGAACTGAGGCCCAGAGAGGGCAAATTTGCCCAGCGTCGAAGTTATTTCTTGAAAGAATCTGCTACTAGGATCTATGTTCTTAACCCCCACATTCTGTCACTTTTCTATAGAAGTTGAAGGAGGTTCAGCCCATCATACCCATTTTCCAGAAGGGAAAACCGAGGCCCAAAAGCATGGAGAGATTCGCAGGAGTGCACACAATGGTGAGAGGCGGAGCAGGGTTATACAGCGCCTTCCCCCACCTCACAGGCTGAGGTGTGCAGGCAGCCCGATGTGGGCACAGGGACCGACGCTGTCCAGGGTTCGGGGCGGGTGGGAAGACTTACGCGATGGCGGGCATGTAGTAGGCGAACTTGGCCAGGAAGCCCGGGAGGCTGAGCGGCTTGTCCATGCCGATGATGTCCTGCAGCTCCTCTGGTGTGTTGGCAGGGAGGGTGATGCCCCGCTTCCTGGGGACAAAACAATGAGGGTGATGGACAACCCTGGGCAGGACCTTACCAACTCCTTGCGGGGGGTGGGGGGGGCATCTGACCCCTCTCATTGGACAGATGGGAAAACTGAGGCCCAGGGCATATAGAACCAGGACCTGAATCCTTCTAGGATCTTCTGTCCCCAAGGCCATGACCAGCCAGCAAATCTCAAGGGGGACAATTGGGATTAAAGTCCACTTAAAGTGCACATGAACACACGCACACACCCTGGTTCCTGGGGACAGGGAAGGTGCCAGGGCAAGCCCTCGGTAGAGCCGGCTGGTCGCGTGCCAGGTCAGGGGTTATCAGGGCAAGAGCTGCAGCACACACTGCCTGGGACAGGAGCAGGCGCCAGACTTCCCTCCGCCACCCTCCCTCTGGCCGGCACACCAGGGAAGCCGGCCTGGCCCACTGCGCTGGGAGAGGGAAGCCAGCCCAGCCATCCACCCTGCCAGCACTCTCCCCTCCCTGACCACAGCCTCCCACACACGGCTGGGCCACGGCAACCACTCGGTAAGGGCTGGCGGAGAACGGCCCTTCTGGTCTGGGGCCTCCTCCTCTCCACTGGCATCTCCACCTCCCCCAGCCAGGACCAGCAGGGTGCAAGGCTGGGCTGCCTTCCCCGCTTCTCATGCTCCAGCCTCCTCTGCTCCTCCTGGCTCTGCCCCAACTCATGGGTCACCCCTGGCCTCAGTTTTCCCACCTTTAAGATAAAAGGGACAGGCCAAGGACACCTGTCAAGAAATGCTTCTACCATGAGGGACAAAAGACCAAAGGCACTCTACAGAAACAGAGAAATGCAGAGAACAGAAAACTTAAAAACCCAAAATGAATAGCCTCAAAGAGAGGAGACGATGTTACATCCTTGAAACAAGAGCATCCCTTTTTAAAGACAGGGCATTCAGAAAGTAAGAAAGAGCTCTTGGAGAGTTGGAAGAATATGGCCACGCCCATCAGGCTGTAATAAAAGGAATGGAAAATAAAGTTGAGAAAATCCTCCAGCAGGTAGAACAAAAGATAAAAAATAGGAGCAAATGGGGGCTTCCCTGGTGGCGCAGTGGTTGAGAGTCCGCCTGCAGATGCAGGGGATGCGGGTTCGTGCCCCGGTCCGGGAGGATCCCACGTGCCGCGGAGTGGCTGGGTCCGTGAGCCATGGCCGCTGAGCCTGCGCGTCTAGAGCCTGCGCTCCGCAACGCGAGAGGCCACAACAGTGAGAGGCCCGCGTACCGCAAAAAAAAAAAAAAAAAGGAGCAAATGATTAAGAAAATTATGTGATTAAACCAGGAGATTCAGCCTCCAGTTATCCACAAAGCAAGAACAGAAGATAGAAGGGAGGACATTGCCAAAGAAATGGAAATTCAACCCGAGTGTTGAAGTCCTTTAATAGCTTCTGTTATTAAAATATTAAAGTGTTTCCCTACATAAATACCTGTTCCCTAAACCTCCTAAATATGCCCTCATCCCCTTCTGCATGACCCCAGAACCTATGAGTGACCAGTGGGTATCACCACGGGGTCACCCTGTTGCCCAGTTTGCCAGTCAGACTCCCATCCCTGCGAGACGTCCCCGGGGAAGATGAAGCCCCGGGTGCAGTCCTAGCACCGAGGTCAGGTGCTCAGCGCCCTTGGGCCTTCCCCTGCTGGTCAGTCTGCCCCAAGGTCACCCTCATGAGGCCGTCCCCAGTCACCGTAGCCTCTGCAGAGCCCGTACCAGTTGTTAGATA